CAACCATTTATTGAATGATAAAATAGGGAGAAACATATGTGAAAAATGTAAAGATACATATGTAGAGAGGGGGAGTGAGAGATTTAAAAGTTCATATTTTAACAAACCTGACAATGGCTGCACTTTAGTACTCCTCATTTTGATAGCCAGCTAAAGTGGAAAAAAACAAAACAAGAGAGACAATGAAATAAGAAAGATCTTTAATAGATGTATATATATATATATATATATATATATATATATATATATATATATATATATATCATTTATGTATATATATATACAAAATGTACATACTGGTATACTGTTTCTCTAATCTATAAAGTATATATATACCGGTAATCTAAACAGCAGTATTCAGAAAAAAGATTATGCTGTTTCATCTGAGAAAATGGATAATTTCTTATTTTAAGATGAAAATGAATGTATCGATTGAAGCAACTTCATTACTTGACTGAACAGCAACAGTAACTAAATCATCAAATCTCTCTACATATTAACCTCTTTTGACTGAATCTGTCTCATGGTTTTTCAAGCGGTTTAGAGTTACCTTCAAAAATAAGCTTCTTAACTTAATTAACACTTGAATATTTTTTAATAGGTCGATTGAAAGATAAGCCATAAAAGCTGAAAAACAAACATCAAGTAAACGACTATTCATCTGAATTGAATCAGAGCAAAAAAGAATAAGTAAAGGCATGATGAAGGGGTGTCAATACTTGTCAGAGATAAGAAAGTTGTGGGTTCGATCCCTGGCATTTATGTCTTTAAGTGAGGCATTTTATCTACAATGTTTCTCTCCAACCAGGTGTTAAATTGGGAAGGAGGCAAAATGCCTGTAAAATGAGACCTGGCTGGAATGCTCCCCAGGGAGTGGAGAATGTGCTTTTATTGCGTGTGGGCAAGCCTGAATCCGATTGCTGCGGTAACACAAGGGCTTATACAGTGTATCTATAAAGTGCTTAGAGACATTGTAGATGTACAAAGTACTCTGTAAATCCAGAATATTATTATTACCATTACCAAGTTTTAAAAAAGGGTTTACAAATTCATTACCCCTTCCACAACACTGGATCTTTGACTAGACTTGCTTGTAGCCTGGGTCCTATCCATGAAGGCCCTCGTAGTCTTGAGGGCAACGGAGGTCTCGGTGGTAGACATCTGAGTAGTTTGGGTGGATCTCCGTCGCCGGCCATGGCTCCCGTATCGATGGTACTTAGCCCTGAAAGCCTTCTTGACCTGTTATAAAAGACACAATACATTTTAAGCTCTTATCATAGCAAAGGTGGGGGTGATGGTGACCCGTTTTGCCAGCTCGTGTAACAAGCAGGAATTTTGTTTTTCAAGAAAATTAAATTGGACATTCATGAAAAGACACACCTTAGCATTAGTACTTAATTGCTAGGAATAGGACAATTTCTCTCCATTATGTATTTTGACTTCTTCTCTGTTTCTTATTTGAATTTTTTAACGTCATATTTGTAAATATTGGTAAAAATGCTTTAAAAGGTGTTTTTAGTTTTAAGATCCCTTTTCATCTAGACAAACAGTGGTATGTTTGGGGGGGGGGGGGGGGGGGGGGGGCGATACCAGGGGGTAAATTCGATTGAGGTTACACACATCCCTGTTATATTTAATCCTTTCCATATAGCATACAAACTTTAAAATCCTGGATCTGCCACCGTCTGTAAATCCCAATGTTGAATAATAATAATGTTGAAAAGTTCAAGTTAAAAAAGTTTAAGGAAAAGGTTTAAGTTTAAAAAGTTTAAGTAAAAGGTCCAAGTTAAACAAAAATTAAGTAATAGTTTCAAGTAAAACAAATTTAAGTCAAGGTTTATGTTAAAAAAGTTTAAGTTAAAGGTTCAAGTAAAAAAAAGTTTAGGTTAAAGTTTCAAGTTAAAAAAGTTTAAGTAAAAGGCTCAAGTTAAAAAATTAGGGATAAAAGTTCTTAGCAGGTCCTCACCTCTTCATTCATCAAGCAGTTGACGATGAAAATAAAGACCCCCTGCAAAATGAAAATAATGAAAGAAACTTGAATGCTTGGTTTCTATAACATATGACATAACAGGATGTCAATATTTCACTACAAATGACATTTAAGGAGATTCCTAGATTAAACTATCATGATAATGAAAAAGTGCATGGGAACAGGTTCAACGGTATAGTATTGAAGAAATGGTTGAAATCGGATACTGTACTATCATATGTAAAAACACTATGTGACATTGTGTTTACATAAATGTAGTCAGCATATTACATTACAAGGCTAATATTGTAATTTGTATGTTATTCCCATCAGGGGCTGACGAAATATATATATAAAATTTAAAAATAACAATATAAAATCAATATGATATATATAATACAGTCTATACAGTGGGGTGGGACAGATTTTTTTTTCTGATTTAAAAAAAAAAGATGGTTACAAAATCACATTAAAAAGTAACAGACAGAATGGCCATGCACCTATTTCCCTTCCAACATTCTAAAAGTAGGGGGGGGACCACCATGGCCCCATGCCCTGATGCTCACCTGGAGAGAGTTGAATATGACAAACATGTATGCAAAGAAGAGTGAGCTATCATAAGCAGCTAGGAGGCCAAAGATCCAGGTGAAACCCAGTAATGGTTGAAGCAGAAGAACCGCTCGTACACCAGCCCTATTTAAAGAGAAATATGTATTTTATTTTATTTTTATTTTTTTTTAAAGAAGAAGAAAACACATACAGTCAAACCTGCTTTAGTGACCACCTGTCTACAAAGACCACTTGTCTTCAAAGGCCACATTTGTTGTTTCTCTTGAAAACGGTTTCTCATTGAATCATGTACTAAAGGAACCTGTCTACAAAGACCACCTGCCTACAAAGGCCACTTTTTGTGTTTCCCTTAGGTGGTTGCTATAGACAAGTTTGACTGTATATATAAACATGCATATTATGTGAGTGTATATACGTAAATTTGTATTCAAAACTAATTTGTTATATTAGGTGTCAGAGAGAAATATCAGGAAGAACTCTCGCAAGGTCCTAATAACCTGTTTTAGGCTATGGTGCAAAAAACAATACAAAGTATTATGAATGACCCTACCCCTCCAAATAAAAATATCAAGGACAGCTACAGCTTTTTTAGTCTTCTTTTGTTTTACACGTACAGGCATATTTAAATATTTAAAAAACACACATATATATATATATATATATATATATATATATATATATATTTGTTTTCTAACACACTACCAAATTATCATTTTGCCTGGAGGAGCTTGTTTCAAGCAATCTTGAGTATATTTTATGCATGACAATTCTAAATTTTTTTTAAAGAAGAAAATAATGAAAATGGATACCTACCTCAATCTCTCTGCCTCTGTCTTGTCTAGGTTAGCCTTGAGCGCCATGAACACACGAATCACCATAATGAGCACTGTAGTGTTGAGCTACAAACAGAAAGAATATTCATGTTGATTGTAAAAATATTTAAAAAATCATGAAAGTTAGAATGTAGAAGTCAAAGTGTAGATTGGTAAAATCAGAATAAATTAGAAAAAATAGTGGAGTCCTACTCGTCTTTAGGATACATACAATCTGTATGAAATAATTTTCGTTGAAGTCCTCAAGAAATCTATTGTCTACTGATACAAAAAGAATTACAGAAACAAAATATACTTTATATGTCAAACCGTCGTACAAAATAATTGAGATTTTTTCTAAAATTCATATTTTCCTGATTCTTGTCCACTTTTTTCTTGAAAAAGAAAACCAGGCTCTCATTTTCTTTCTATTGAGAAATAAGCACTTATGTAATTCATTATCGAGAATGAAATAAAACATTTGAATGGAAAATCATATAATGACATGAAGAACGTACACACACACGCACAAAGAAAAACAAGCAAAGAAATAAATAAACATCAACTTACAGCCAACACTGCCAGTACAGGGCTAGCGAAGGCCCACATGAATCCGTTCTCAACAGATAACCAACAACTGAAATGATAAAGAATTGAAATATAAAATATTTACATTATTCTATCTAAATTAAACATTGATTGAATCATCTAAATTGAACGTGTGTTATCACATATGAGTTTCAAGCTGCTATGTTTGGATTTGGCAAACGCTACATTGTATTTTAAGCAGTTTACTCACAGACACATGAAATTTGCTCTTTATCTCCATATTTTCATACAGTAAATGTCAATATCATTTCAGGAAAAGAATATTCATTAGGTTATTAAGAATGTATGTTCCATTTAATCAAGTATAGTTTATCTCATAAAATGATTTCTCAGGGTTACATTCTTTCATGACTTCATGTATTAGAATTCATCTACCCCCATATATAAATACACCAAACTACAACACAATTTGCTGAGACATAACATTTTTAGAAAAAATGCAAAAAGTGAAGGATGCCAACTCTAATCACCTGTTTCAACCAATCGTATTATAGAACAGACAAAGTATAAATTTAAGTCCACTCCTTGTGTATTTTGCGTGAATAACACATTTAAGAAAAATGCAAAGAGTGCAGAATATCAACTTACTAATCATCTGTTCCATAACCATCTAGGCGCAGCCCAAGAGACACTGCAATAATTACGACAGGTGAACCTGAAGAAAAAAATGAGAAGAAAAAAAGTAATTTATGACTATGAAGACATGATTTATTTGCCTGTTTGTGGTATAATGATAATTTGTAAATATAGTAAATGTGTACATCCGTGTTGTTGCCTCCCTTGCCATTGCCGAGTATATCTTCTCCCGCCCCGCCCCCCACCCACCTTTCCTTTTCCCCGTTATTTCTTACCCCATCCAGCTGCCATATACATCCATGTCTTGCCTCCCTTCCCGTAGGCCGCGCGGGCCTGCATCAGTATGTAGATGCCTTCCATTCCCACCTCCCTCTTTGTTCTCTAATCTTTCTCTCCTCCCCCTTTCCCTGTCCCCTCTTCCCTTATCTTCTCTCTCCCCCCCCCCACCTTTCCTTTTTCCCCCGTTATTTCTTACCCCATCCAGCTACCATATACATCCATGTCTTGCCTCCCTTCCCGTAGGCCGCGCGGGCCTGCATCAGTATGTAGATGCCTTCCATCAGCATCCAGAAGAATGTGGATGTGAAGAGGTAGTGAAGCAGCACTGCTATGGTGGTACACAGCTCCTGTCGGTTAAGAGAAAGACCGGGAAGATTAAGGGGAAGGAACCCGGGGGGGGGGGCATCGATAGACAAAAGAGGGGTACGTGAGTGGATTGGACCAACGTGTCTCCCTATTGAAACCATTTTTGACCAGTTACAGAAGTGGTAATACAGCCGGGGGAAGCAACAAAAAGGGGAGGGGGCACATGTATTTTGCTTATTCCATAACTTTAAATACAAATGACAGTTTAAAATATGATACCATTTTGTTTTTGCTCGTTTCATCTCTTTGATTTTTAAATATAATCTATGCCTCCCTCCCCACAACAAAGTTCACTCCTGAATTAAAGAAGTGCATTTAAATCAAAATCATTAGATAATTTTAAAAGGGTAAAAATTGAGAAATAAACTCCTCTTACCGATGAAGCTGTTCTTTCTATCCCGATCAGGTATAAGAGCTGAGCCGATAGTAACGCTATACACAAGTTTGTGTGGATGATCGTACGTTGAGATTTCATCAACCTGTACAGAGGGAAGTGATTCGAGATATAGATTTAACAAAGAAATTATTCATACCCTTACGCAAAGCTTTGTAATTTTTTAAGTATGTGAAAAATTGATTTGTCCTGGTTTATGTTTCTTGAGAATGTGACATATCAAAGTTTACATCTAACAATGTTCAACAGAGGCCTTAATTCAACCAGTCAACTTTTCATCCTTGAGCTACAAAAACACGAAAAATATAAACTGTACAAGGGGTATGAATAATTTAGTTGTTAACTGTAATTTATCTTCTTAGTGCGAGGTGCATATTTACAGGGGACATCCATCAAATGACGAAAAAGTGAGAGAAAAAAGGAAATGGGAAGGCAAGAGGAGATAGAGAAGAGGATATGACTCAATCCCACACTCTCCTCTTCTCGACTACCTCGTTCTCTTCCACTTCATCCACCTAGGCCAATGCCCTCAATGACATCAGCCCCCTCAATGGCGTCATCCATGCTACGCCCCTGCTAAATGCAGTATAGTGCACACAATAAATGACTACCACCCTGAACATCTACCTGCATTATTAAAGGCAACTGAATATCGTACCACCTGATCATCATTATTTAGAAAGAAATAGTACAATCACTGATTAGATGATAATAAATTTTCCCTGATAGGTCTACCATGAGAATTTTTAAGAATCAAAGACAATAAGTAAAGTAGAAAATAAAGGTACTGTAAATCAAATTTGTTTGGGGGAAAAGAAATGATAGAGAGCAAGCAAAAAAATAATCAAAGGTGATCCAGTATTTTCTCCAGCAACAAGTGTTTTTTGAGCTTCACTTCGGTTAGTTTGGGTTGGGGTTTCGAAAGGTTCTAGGTATGGTTTATGGTTAGGGTTAGATATAGTGTTTTCTCCTATGCTGAAGTGGGGAACTCGCCTAATTTTAGTGTAAGTAATTGATCATGGATCAACTTTTGCCAGAGTCTACATTGTACAACCTAACAGAAATGGGAAAAAGAATGACTTATAAAACAAGAACGAGGAGAAAAGAACAGAAAATTGGACAGTACTTACTTGAGTAGAACAAACGTGGTGAGTGAACATACTAGAGCTGCTATGGATAGGGCCAAACCAATGTAGGTTAACATATCCAATGTTACTCGGTGTGCAAGGGATAATACCTGGATTAATGATTTAAAATAGATCTTTTAAAAGTATTTGATGAATTACAGGTTTAAGATTATAAGGCATGTTAACTTTTTAATGACATTTACATTATTAATGAAAATGAAAATAACATTGAATAGTAGAAATAGTAGTAGTAGTAGTAGTAGTAGTAGGAGTAGTAGAGGTAGTAGGAGTAGTAGGAGTTGTAGTAGTAGTAGTAGAAGTAGTAGTAGTAATAATAATAATTATAATAATAACGATAGCAATAATAATGATAATCATAATAATTATAAGAATGAACTGTTATTATTAATATTATCATGGTTACACTAAATTACACTAAATTACAACTAAAGAAAGGAGATGAGAGAGACAGAGAGAGACAGAGAGAGAGAGAGAAAGAGAGAGGAGATAGAGAGAATGTAAACAGTAAAAAAGAAAGAGAGAAGAGTGGGGTAAAGGGAAAGAAAGACAAACGAAACACAAACGGTATTTGCTATCAAATGAAGAATGAACACACTACGGTGGTATAAAAATCTAAAGATAGAATATCAATGAAAAGGATTTCTTTTGTTATGAAAACTATTTTTTAGCACCGCAAAAAAAGCTTTAAGGGTAACGAATTACTAACTAGATAAAGTTCCCCCACCCCTCTGACTTGAACTACATGTATATTGTAATTTATGCAAAACAGAAGCACATGTCTAATTATGTAAACAGGACTATTTTTAACAATGAGGTTTATAATACCTACCACCGGATTTGGGTTAACTTGCAGGAGAATAGCAAAATTAGTCAGGTGATCGCAACGACAGGTGATCTGCGAGCCGTTGGTTTGGTTCCTATAACAACCGACTGTTGACCACACCCCTCCTGATTCCTCACTACCAACATATTAATACATTATGATGATAAAAATATAAAATTAAAGCAATTTATATTTCACTTAAATAATTGACAATGTTTCAATTATAATTGCAATAACAGTATTATCATCCTTGTATTTATCATAAAATCAATAACAAATTACGGTCATTGTCATATATCTGTGGCAGTTGTTATTGATAACTAGTTTTAACTTGTTTCTTTGCATTGTCTATTCCTCGCCACAAAGCACTATTCTTCAGATAAGAAGATATATATCAATTAAAATGTGTATACTCATTATCAAATAATTATGGTTATCAGATCGTTCTCTATAAACTGAATTTGGGAATGTTGATACACAATCGCCCAAACTAAAAAAGAAAAAGGAAATATCGATCAAATCGATTTTGCATAAATTTACTTGTTATAATACTGTTCAGATAAATACGACAGAATAATAACGTTGATATGCATGGTATAAAACTACTGCAAAACCATCAGGGGTGTTTCACAAAGACTAAGATCGACTTTAAGTTGGACTTAACTATGGCAGGCCATTCTGTAAATTTGTGAACACGATTTATACGTCCCTTGAGAAACCAATGCCAGGAATGGTTAGCGGAACTAGTGGCATGAATGGCCTGTCATAGTTAAACCCATCCTAAAGTTGATCTTAGTCTACACCCCCAAGGATAATGAATGAATATCTTACTCTTCTAGAAACTCCCAGAAGACACACAAAGATTGTGAGTTTGTTGTATTTGCATCCTAAAAGAATTAAAAAGAGATTTTGAAGAAGATTAATTACACAACGAACACAATTCACTTTTCATATTCCGGATCTGGACCTTAGATAGTAAAATTGTTCACCAGTTAATATTGAAAATTGCTTGAAAATCAGCAAACGAAAAGTCAAAGAAGTGTCGATTTTCAGCACGAGTAGCTGTTAATGGTGGTGTTTAAAAAAAAGAAGAAACAGACATTGAGACAAACAGCGTTTAGGACTAGTAAACTTTGTGACAAACAAAAAATTAATTTAAAACGTTAGGACTGACAAAGTTCTGGGTGGGACACGAGTTTCGCTGCGTGCAAGATTTTTGGTAATTCCACGATGTCCAGTGTTTGCATGACACAATACACATGGAAACTGCCAAGAGTGTGTACTAACACCCCCCCCCCCCCTAATTCCCCCTTCCCCTTAGCCCATTCTATCCTCACCTCGTTCAGTTCTAAGACCAGTTCAATCGGATCATCGGCACTGAACGTGATCGTTGACCCGTCAGTCGCCTCGACCTGGATTGACATGATCTTTGACCCCACGCTGGTGGGCGTGTCGTTTCCATGGAGTCCGCCAAGCTGGGAAGATGATGTCAGATGGAGATTGTTGAAGACCACTGCGCTGATGGTGACTATTTAAATACATGGAAAGAAGTCATGTAAACATTGTGATTGTAACACATTTAGATGTAGCTTATCGTACCAAAAATGATTATACTACAGGATATAGTTAAAAGAGAGAAGACTTTGAAAATCAATCTAAGATAATTCCAATTACCTCGTTCAACATCTTTTGGAGTGTGTGAACATTACCATGACATTTTATCCCCGATCTAAATATTATTTCTATTTAATATACGATAGGGTATTGAAATTGACCTTAATTTGCGATCATGTAAAAGCCCTTTCTAGCAAAAATGTGTTAATAAATTCGTCACTGGCTTAGTGGACAACAAAATCCCTTATTGAAGTGAATTTAATGAAATAAAAACGTCTTCAATTATTACAACGACCTCCTTGCCCCCACACTCTCTTCCTTTCCTTCATTCGTTCTCCTATTTCCTTCTGATTGTTTTCCATTTAATTGGAAGTGCTCACATCGCTGTATCTATACGCTTTAGAGTTGTAACAGCACCAAGGTTTTAGTGATAAATCTCACCGTTTCTCCCTCTGAAGACGGTTGGTGGGAGGTGAAGTTCATTCATACTGGAGTTCACACTCACTATCACTGGCTCTGTGATGTTTTCGGTGTCTTCTGGTGAGATCTTTGTTAATTGTAGAACTGTTACAAAAAATGAATGAAATCAGGATAAAGAAAATCAATCATTATTAAGGAAGCACAATTTGAATATAACTTTTCGAAAATACACACCGCACTCCCCATGGTGTTTCATCTACTCCCCAACCCCGCCACACACACATACACATCCACACACACACACACACACGCACACACACACTTTTTTTTTTTTTTTTTTAACAATTTTGTTTTATTTCTCCAGATGTGTAATACAAACCATGACATACAATTGAATAAAATAAACGTGTTCAATATTGATGCTTTGACATAAACATAATTAAACACAAACTTATTTGCAGTATAATATAACTTAGCAACAAAGTAAACGTATAAGTACCTAAACATAGCAACAAAGTAAACGTATAAGTACCTAAACATAATATGTCAATTGTAAATGTTATTTACTTATATATTTAAAAAAAAAAAAAATCTGGAGGTAATTTTACTGAAACAATACTGCCCCTTCCCTGCCCCCTCCATCACACAAACATACTCACCCTCTATCACACAAACATACTCACCCACCCACACACATACTCACCCACCCACCCACCCACCCCCCCCCCCCCCCACACACACACAGTACTCACTCAGTGGATGTCTGCCAACATTCTCAACTCAAGAAAAATATACTAAATAAGTTATCCAGGCCGCAAAATCGAGTTACGCTTTTAACAGGCTCACGGTGGAGAAGAAAGCAAATCTTAATTAATCTTAAGCTGCTCCCACTTTAAGAAATGTGATCCTAGCTTTCCCATTTTAATTGCTATTTTCTTTTCCTCATCCCTATACTTAAAAATGCTTTTTTTCATCTTTTCTAAAGTTAGTACTCGCCCCCCCGATCTTGACATAAATATTACATACTTCACCATGAAAATGATGGTATTACACATTTTTATTCTATATGAACTACCTACCAACCCAACAAATATATCTCGCCATTCTAAATCTTTAATTTCATCTAACTCAAAAAGTTGTATTAAAGCCTGTCATATCCTTTGAACGCTCCCACAAGATAAAAATAAATGTTTGTATGTTTCTATTTCCTGCTTACAAAACGAACATAAATTATCACCAACAAAACCAAATCTATGAAGATGCTCATTAGTGTATATGGCTCCATGCAATAATTTAAATTGAAATTCACGTTGTTTTCTAATGAGTATAGTAATTCTTGGTCTAACAAATATTTCTTTTAATTCTTTATCTATAAAATCATAATCATTTTGCCCATCCCTTACCTGCAAATCATACGTTTGTTGCAGTGCAACATACACACACACACACGCACGCACACGTACACACACACACACACACACACACATATACACGCACACACACACACACACACACACACACGTGCACGATGGCTTAAGCACTGTCAACATATTCCAAAAATTGATTCAAATCATCATGATGGGATTTCAGTTTTAACATAACCTGTCGGGGAGAAAATAAAGCAAACTGTGTAAGAGAGAGATTGTGAGTGAGTGGGTGTGTGCGTTCGTGGGTGTTTTTGTGTGCGCGTGGGTGTTATGAGAGAGAGCGAGAGACATAAAGAGGGGTTGAGGGGAAGAACATAGGGAAAGAGAAATAATATTAGGATACACAGTAAAACGCTGCTTAAAAAAGTGATGTTCACTTACAGTTGTACACTATCTTAAACAACAGTTGAACAAATTGTAAACAATGTTGCTCGAAACGAAAGTAATTTTGTTAAACATTCGCTGTTTAAAATTTAATGACTGCTTTATTTACTATACGAGAGCTTTTAGACAGTGTTGTTTACATATGACGTCATGTGTCACGTGCCAGTAAAGTGCGCGTTGGCTAAAAGATTTGTTTCAAATCATGGCCAACCAAGCTGTAGACGTGTCGTGGATGAGTGGAAACGTCGCCGGACTGTCGATCACAAGGTCCACGGTTCGAGTCCCGCCGCGGAACTAATGTCCTATGGCAGCCTAGCATAGCCGGGTAATGTTGGAGCGCCTTGAGGACCTTGCAAGGTCGATACGTGCGCTATATAAGAATCCAATATTATTATTATTATTTAACAACAGCTCCTTTTTAAACAACTTTCTTTAAACAACCCAGTTGGTGTAAACAACCCCCACTGAACAACAGCTCCTTTTTAAACAACTTTCTTTAAACAACCCAGTTGGTGTAAACAACCCCCACTGAACAACAGCTCCGTTTTAAACAACCGTCTTTAAACAACACCAGTTGTTTAAATTGTGATTTTAAACAAGTTGTTCAAAATGTTGATCAACTAAGTGTTTAAACTTTAAACAACTCGAGTTGCTTAACATTTTAAACAACTCTTAGATCAGGTCACCCGTTAATCAACAGTTGTTTAAACTTTTAAACAACATGTTCACTAAATTTTTAACTGTGTAGGAGTAGCCGTTTTCATTTTTTTATTTTTCATTCGATGACGATTTAAATTCTACTTCCACACATCGATCAGTTTGCCATCGAATTTGAACCTGATACCAAAGTTTTTTCTCTGTTCACGTTACTTCTCAGCTCACGTGGACAACAATCAACGAGGTCGGCAGCGCAACGGATCGACAATGTCGGTCTGGCAGGCCTCCTGGAAAAGTTACCCGAGGGTTCCCTATTCTGGTGGTGGTTATTTTACCTGACTGCTACGAAATCACAAATGCTTGTAAGTAAGCAACCAGAAGGCTACTGGCCTACTAAACAGACGACACATCCTGGATCTTCTGACAACTTTACCGAGGTTTAAAAGACCGACATTGTTGATTTACTGGGATCTCCCGTTATGCAAGAGATAAGCTTCTCTTTCTGAGGATCCACTGAACCCCTTCTCTCTTACCTAATTCATCGTTCTGTATGACGACCTTCTTCTTGGCTGGTGATAAGAGGTTTTTAGCCGCATCCGAAGCGAATGATTCAAGAAGTTCCATGATGCTACTAGCGTGCTTCTTTACGGATGTCGAATTCTACAGGGAATTTAAAAAACACGAAATTTTATTCAGGTACTTCAAGTCGAGATTCTTGCTGGATTCCCTCTTACATTTCTTCCTAAATATGTTTGTCCTATATCGACTAAAAATGTCATATCTTGATTTGTGTCTCTGTATGTTATTCTGCTTATTGGTATTATTGCTTTTATGAATTGATATTGAATGCATACCGGTAATTATAATATAGAGGGTTCAGTGACACAAAGACGTAACTCCATATTTTTCCATTATGAGTATATGATATAAAAATGTTCGGAAAAATGTGGACTTTCCAAGAAACACAAATACTTAACTCCAACCAATACCCCATTGTAGTCAATGGCTAGTGAAACATAGACTTAACTCCTTAAGGCCCAAGTGCTAAGTGACACATTAACCACTTTTTCTCAAAATGGCCAAAATAGAGTTACGTCTTTGTGTCACTGACCTCGATATGTTTCATCAAGGACCAGACAAGGAATACTATTGCATGGTTACGATTTTTTTTCATTTGATGTGAAATGAAATATGAAAAGCCGCATTTTTGGGCAGGATGTCAATCACTTCTCCCTACAAAATTCTCAATGATAACTTCACGATGTGGTATCTGTGGGGAAAGCGGGAATACTCCTCCCAAACTAAGGATGTTCAAACGTTTAGGACCTCTTGACTTATTTAGTATACAAATTGTAAACATGATCTTTTTAACAATCCTTTATTTTAAATTTACAAGCCAATGCCATTATAAGTTCAGAAGTTAATTTACATCGATTACCTCGAGCCCCCCCCCCCCCCAAAAAAAATATATATATCAAAATTATATGCATGCTTTTACTACAAAGGTTACTTGCGATGACCAGACAGAGGCCCATCCGACATAGTAACAACTAATATATTAATCCTACATTCTGACTTACTGGAATACCATAGCTTTTAGCAGGTGAATGCAAAGCTCGTCATGAAGTTTGTGAGGTAGAAACCATTCGTGTATTTGAATACCATGTGAATTGCTCTATCGTCAAATTAATTCTAATTTAATTCTGTTAAAAATATTTCGCATCTGTCTAGGAAATTTCTAATGATGAATCTGACTTCTATTTGAAATACTTAAGTGCATTTGAATAAATATCCATTTCTATTTAAGCTTTCCAGGTGGTGAATTAGTGTATTCTGTTTTGTCATTTTGTATGCCAAACACTTTCCATTCGTTAGACAACATGCCAAGAAGTTTTCGGGTAGTGGAGCACCAAATTTGTTGATTTACAAAAAGAATGGACAACCGACGAATTACCCCTATGTCACAACATGGATTTGTTTGAACAAATTATTGTTTGATTTGTTTTCAAGAACGATTCGATAAATCTTTTATCATCATTAACAGCAACCTGTCCAAGAAAGGTTCATTGGCCTTTTCATACTGCCAAATAACGGTCACTTTAAGTTCTGGTAAAAGAAGACGACCATTTAAAGTACCTCTGAAGATACTGTATCGGGATCCGTCAAAGTGTCGTTCGGTACAAGAATGGTTTTGACAATGTCCAAGAACGTCTGTAAACAACAAGAGGAAACAAATATTTTTGAGGATTAGAGCAACAGTGATTGGCACAACTATAGGAAAAACACATGGGGGACACTTGGAAGTCGAGACACGAATTGGTAAGTTCTTGACGCAACTGTGCGACATCTTTATGAAAATCCCTCTCAGCCTAATCCTTAAAAATTTGTAAGCATTTTAATTTCGTTGCCGAGCTGTCAGGTTTTGAGTATTGACTTGCTGATGCGAAGAGGAAACCAGATCTAAACCCCAAAGCCGATCAATTTAAAGTTTCTGTATAAGGTTTATACTGGCAATGATCTACAATAAAATTCACCAGCCCTTGTTATTATAAATTTTATATGAATTTAATGAGATTGAATTTGATTCATATGTCATTCATTTGTAACAGAATGTGTATTTAAACAAAAAAGTTGAGTACAAAACTTTTAATGCCTTCCGAATGTCAGAAGAAGCAGGTGATTTATTCACATTTTATGTTTAATTCTAGTATTATGTTTCTGGAACAGAATTATAAATTCCATCCAAACCCAAATTCCCACCCTCCTCCGCATCAGTGTTATAAACATAATATATCACGTTTGGGATATCACGCTAAAATAAGAAAGTCTCTTCATCGTTTTCGTAACCAGGTAAACTTCACCAATACACCTTAGTTCCTTTCTAAAATTCATATCTGTTGCATTTAAGTGTCAAATAGACGATGACTTGTAAATATTGACAGAACAGACCTGAGCCGTTTCTTTCGTGGAGGCTGCTTGGGATGAAACGGCAGACAAGGTTCCCTTGATGCTGTCGATATCCTCTTTGTTCAATTGCCCTGATGACTGTTGTGTCAGGTTGTCAACGACATTGAGCGCGGTGGACGCTGTCTCAAAGGTTACAGTAATGTTAGCATCGGTGACAGCTTTGAAGACTTCTTCAACCTGTTTCATGAGATATAACAGGGATAATCTTTGTGACATCTAAAAAAATAGATTTCTATGGCCATTTACTCTTCGTCTGTTATAATACCCGTTGCACACGAGGCGGGCGTCATTGCAATTTGCGTTATTACTCGCACGATTCAATTAATTTGCCGGCGTAATAATGCCTTGTAATAATTATGCCACAGGCATAACTCACTATTGCAGCATAATTTATGCAAGGAGTTCTATCGATTACCCGAGGAAATCAAAATATGCCGCAGGCAACCAAGTTTATCTCACTTGCTCAATTAAAAAAAGAAGCAATTAATTGGCTAGTATCCAAAATACAGGTATATGTCGGTGATTCATTGCATGTTGTCCAAACGCCAACTGTCGATTTTTAAAGAGAATGTTGGCCCGAATAACATGGTCATTTTTGCAAGGTAACTGTGGCTACATTTTCAAACAAAGTATTATTGGCAAAGTGGATCTTCTTCTCCGCCCGACATGTCATACTCACCCCCTTAGCTTTAACAATCTCACTTTGTACTTTTTGCTCGGAGCCCGTAGTCGTAGCGGGCGACCGGCTACCACTTGGGTTACCACCCGTCCCACTGGGTAGAATCGTTGATGATGGAGCGAGCGTCGGATCTGCATTTTTCTTTGTGTTTTGTCCATCCGTTGGCACAATCGAACTAGTAATACTTGTACTATGAGCTGTTGTCGAGTTCTGTACCTGTCCAGGGGCTGTTATTTTTGCGACAACCAACGCTGTGGTTGCTTCAGTATTACTACTCGTTACTTTGGTTATAGAGTTGGGCGTTGTCACAGCTGCAGGAGTGGTAGGGTTCCCTTGAGGCGTTGGAGACGCTGTAGACCCCCCTAGAGAAAGAGAGTCGGAATTTCAATATCAATCGGACAGCAAGAATGTCAACAAAGAACGGCGAATGTTACCCACTAAGAAAATGCCCTCTCTAGATTATTTCGGAAACGGACAGTCCAGAAGACCGACAATAATTGATGAAAACGACAGGCCACGAGAATGTCAGCCTACAAGACCGACCGCCTACGAGACTGACATCCTTACAAGAACGATTATGTTGGTCTGGTGAACCATTAGAGAAGTTGTCAGAAGACCCGCAAGACGGACACTGTCAGTCTTATGGGCTCTCGGTCTCCAAGGCCATTGGTCTCGTTAACCCTCAGATGATCTTCAGATGGTCCACGAGACCTAAATGGCAGTCTGTCGATCTTGTGTTCTGTCTGTCGGTCTCATAGGCTGTAGCCTGCTTGGAAATGTTTTCATATCTAATGTTGATAGACCGGGTAACCAACAAAAATTAGGGTCGGCACATTTTATGTGCGTGTGTATATGTGTGTGTATATGGGAATGTGTGCGTACGTTTGTGTGTGTGTGTACCTAAGTTATTCCCCCGGATTTTTAGAAACAGGCTGGTTGCGCCCCCTAAATCGACCAGTGTTTAAATTCTTCTTGAATTTTGAAATTTCACATCAAGAATTTTGTTTTTCTTACCACTCCCGCCTATGAATGACGTCAACTCGAAGCGCAAACACGGTAAGGTATTATTTGCGACCGGATAAATACGAATAAGCTGACAGTACATCGGATTGGGTAACGTCTGCATAACGACCATGTTGGAACTCCAGGATCCCTCAAAGATCTGTGATTAAATACAAATGAGAACAACAAACAAAAGTGGAATTTCCAAACTTCAAATAATACCAATTATCATGATGATAACGAAAACAATTTATGGCTGCTGATAAAGTAATATTGTTGGGGGAAAGACTGATCTGGTGGTGAAAGGGAAAGAAATATGAGTGCATCAATTATTGTGAGTTATCGGAGGAAAAAAATATATATTTGTGACCATGCGACGATAGTGTCATTAAAATATACCTTACAATACTATATGGCACCTCACCGGAAGTTAAGTTACACCTTAAGTCGTGTGTTTGTAACTTTGCACCCCTAAATATAGAAAATTGCTGCCTTGTTTACTATAGCACTTGTTACGGTAAGTGGTGTACATTCTTGGTTAGGAGTACACAGGTTCTCCTTTGCTTAAAATAATTAACCCCTTGATTAAGAGTATTAACTGCACTCTTGCTTAGAGGTAAAACGCTGCACCTGTACAATTTTGCACTTTTTGTAAAGGGTACAGAGCTGCACCTTTATACCTAGGTGAAACGTTGCACTCCTAAAGTGTACAATTTATACTTAATGAATACATTTTGTATTTAATTCACTTTTACTTACAGTTGAGTAATCCAGGTTGTCGTAGTTAAGCCAGGTATCTCCATCATTGCTGACCCGGATGTAATATTTGGTGACCCAATCAGTGTATTCCCTGCCCTGGATCATGATTCCATTCAAGACCACCTCTCTTTCCATATTAACCTGAATTCAGTTTAAAAAAAAAAAAATGCAATTGAAGATAAACACATATGTATGATTCACTTTGTAACTGAATTTATAGAGAGGAAAGGTCTAGATTTCCTCCTTAAGCTGACTCCGCTTTTGAATTTAAATATGAATTCAAAAATCTTTACTGTCGAAACGTCTACATAATTCCCTTCACAACCCGCTCATGATCCCTTGCTCCCCTCATTCTCTTCTAAATAGTTGCATTAGGGTATGTTATGCAATCTATGCAGACGAACCCAGCACAATAACAGGTTGCATTCAGGGACATTATGTTTTCTTTCCTTCGGGCCAATGGTATCACGTTCTGTGGACCTGTACTACACCCTCATCACCATTACTATTCATCATCATCATCATCATCATCATTATCATAATCATCATCATCATCATCATCACCACCATTATCATAATCATCAGAAAACAAATCATATGAAAACAAAAATCCTCATCATCCTCATTATCATCACCATTATAATCATCATAATCATCATCATCACCATCACCATCATTAAAAAAAACGAATCATATGAAGAAAAAAAAAAATCAGCATCATCATCATAATCGTCAACATCATTACCATTATCAAAATCATAATCATCATCATCATCACCATGCACCACCACCTCTACCATCATCATCATTACCATTATAGCCAGTATCACCACCATCACCACCAAGAAGTACGAATTAAATCATTTACAAATTTGAATACCTGAATCCAAGGGTCCACGTCATTTCCATCGGGGCACCAGCCAGTACCGTCGAACAGGCGTGCAGATATGGCCGAGGTGTTAGGATCGCGTTCGCTGGATGACGCAATCTGACGGTCTAAGATGTTCAAGTTCTGCATCCCCAAATTGGTTTCTTTCGCACCTATAAAACTATCTGCAAGGATGTTGAACATACAGAAACATTTCGTATGATTTCAATGAAGATACAAGTCGTGCCATTATAACAAAAAATAATGTTGTGGTAGATAGATACAAAAGAAGTTAAAACCACTGAGTCTTTCTTTTAAAAAAATGCATTACTTAAAAAAAGAAAAATAGTAAGAAAGAAGTTTAGTGTATATAGGTAAACGGCTCGATAGTCTATCCACCGGAAACAGCTATACCCGGACCTTTGACCTCTTTGGACAGGTAAGGATGACGCAATAAAAATTGAAGTATTTAGGTCTACCGCAGGTGGGGTTGTCCGTACTGTATACACCCAATACTCCCTTCAAGGAAGGATTCTGTTTACCTCTGGCCCTTGCCTGCCTAGGAATGATTCTTCCCGCCCCTTGCTTATAAATTGTAATGGAGGTACATACATGGAAGGAGGTATATACCTGAGACTAAGTGGAAACTATCTGCCTTTACCTCCCTTGCCTGTCTGGGAATGATTCTGTCTGCCCATGCTCATAACTTGTAATGGAGGTACATACATGGAACGAGGTATATACCTGAGACCAAGTGGAAACTATCTGCCTCAATGGCCACCATGGAGTAACCATCTGCGACGATTGTGAACACTGCAATTAGCTGTTAGGATTAAATAATAATAATAATAACATCAAAATATAAGAATAACATTGTTCCAACTAATACAAATGGTATCGAAAATAATATCGCTAGTGACATTCGTTTGTCTCGCAATGTATGGTCAACAAGGGATCTGAAAGATCACGACGTTTCCGTAGAGTACAGAAGACGCTTGCTTGCAATATATTTTATCACCTGACGAAATGTAGCAGCGGCGCACGAAACGTTGTGATCTTTCAGATCCCTTGTTGACCATACATTGCGAGACAAACGAATGTCACTAGCGATATTATTTTCGATACTATATCCGCAATGAGTAATATATTTAGCAATACAAACGGTATTTGTATAATAATAATTATGGTTATAACGATAGTGATCATACTTTTTATATAATAATTATATCTTGCTTATGTTATTACGAGTTGCAATAAACATAATCATGTATTATCATAGAATCATAATGACATACATGGCCATTATGAACGGTTAGGGTAGTAATGCCAGAAATTACCTTAATAATGACAATGCTGACAATAACACTTTAAATATGCAAAAATCAATGCGAAAGTTAAAAAAGTAATGATAACTATAATAAAAGTAATTATCAAACAAACGTAGATTAGATAATGGAATATGTTAATCAAAAGTTTTATAAGAATATTGAATAAGAAATGTATTCATGTTGACTTTCATTTTGTTCCGAAAATTAGGAAGTCAAAATTGATATCTGTCAAAATTGATATCTGTCAATAATATTCTGATCAAAGTTACTACTTTCAAAAGAAAGACAAATTGGACACGCCTGATATTTCTCGCTAAATTGACGTTCATGGTGGAACTCTCTCCATTCCCCTGGCGAACCACCGCCGGGTGAGCCATGAACCTCGGCTATGACCGCGTCTTCGTGGGCCCATGAACCGGATGTGATCTCCGTCCAGACCCTCATGATAAGCGTCCAACTCGTCCGGTCGTCCCCGCGAAGAAAGTAGTTCAACTTCACATGACCTTAAATAATGTAACATAGTGATTTGTGTTCAGATGTGATCGTTCACCGTCAGTGAGAATGATGATAATGATGATGATAAATTGATAATGAAAATAATAAGCCCAATGATTAGGATAACAACATTAAAGTTTTAATGATAATGTTGAAATTAAGGTTACGATGATGAAGCTTGATGACGATTGTAATATTAATGATACTGATAATAATAATGATAATAATAATAATTGTTATTATTATTATAATGATAATAGTAAGAATAATAGTGATAATAATAATGATACTACTACTACTACTAATAATAATAATAATAATCATCATCATAATAGTAATAATAATGATAATACTAATAATGATAAACTTTCTGGCTCCAAGAAAGATTATATTGAAATGCTTAACAATATATCTGTAATGCGCTTAGGTACATCATTGGATCGGTGTATTGAGCGCTATATAAAAAACGGATTATTATTATTATTAACAATAATTCTCCCACCCTTCGAGAACTTATAGCCGCCTTGAACATGCTGCTTGCACACCAACATTATTTTTTTCCAGCAAAATCATGTGACCCAAGATTCTCAGGTGATGATTCCTTTTAGTATATTTGCAGGGGGCTTCCCCTTCTCCGGCTACTCCATCCCCGCTACCCGAACAGGGGCTTCCCCTTCTCGGCTACTCCACCCCGCTACCCGAACAGGTCAATATTATACCTCCACGTATGGTCAAGGCTTCACGATAGATGACGGTGGATGTGAACACCATGTCTGGGGGAACATCAGGACACAGCCATGATGACGAAGACGATGACGTCATACCATGGGCAGCCGGCGACGTAATATCTACGCTGAAAATGTCGGTGAAGATAAACCCGGTGGTTGCGCTCTCAGTGACGGGCGAGAGTCCACTGCCCGTTTCAGGCCAGGCTGATGAAGGTGTCACGGCGGAAGTGTCCCACTGCCTGGTATGTCCCGGACAGAACGTGTTAGAGATTTCAGTCCCGCTTAGGAAGAAGTAGTAGTCTGTAAAACAGACATGATACGATAATTTGAAAGAAAAAAAAGAAAAAGAAGAAATACCAAGAGAAATAGGAATAAGAAGAAAATTGTACAGAGTAAGATATATAAATATGGATTATATAGAAATAATTATTTTAACATAAACTAGAATATCAAATTATTTGCCTGATCCAGCTGAGGCATGCGGCTTGTCATTGTGTTGAAAAACTCAGCTGCCCCAAATAATAAATGAAGGTTTAAGATGTATCAATCTTTCGGTCAAACTAATGTGTTGTGCGCCTAAGCCACTGAAAACATTTACCCAAAAATCCAAAAAGGGAGAAAAGCAATAACAAACATTGATTTAAGCTACGCAACCACTATTCTCTCATTTCCATTCGCATTTTATATATGAACCCAAAAAGAAGAAGAAGAAGAAGGAGGAGGAGGAGAAAAAGGAGAAGGGAAGAAGGAGAAAAAAAGGAGGAAAAAAGGAGGAGAAAAAAAGGAGAGGAGGAGGTTACTACTATCTAATTTTCTCACCTTCTTTATAGGTCTCTATTGGAGGGTTCGTAAAACAGCTGCATTCAAGGTGAATATCTTCATCGGTCGCATATTCAATATGATCGTCTAAATGGGTACTGTTAAAATCTGGCCATATCTCTGTTAAAAACAAACAAAATAATAGTAATGATAAGTAGTGTGTGTGCCATTCAGCTATCAAGAGTGATAGAAACTGGTCTGAACTTATAAGTAATTCAAGGATACGAATACAGATTTTTTGTATTGTTCATAATATGTTATGATACATGTAGGGCGGGTGGTCTGACAAACCTTCCGTTTAAGATCACTTTAAAAAAAGGAAAACTTCTACCTCATCAGACTAACTTCTTAGTTAAACCCGATTTCGGACAAAAGTCTAAACCCAGAGTAGAGTCCAAACTTAAGTAGACATAGTAGATTAGGGGCCATAGAGTTTGGGTTTTGTGTTAGTAATTGCCATCAGGGGCGGATCCAGCCGGCGACAGGGGAGGGGCCCAATTCGTGAGAAAATATTTAGCAGCGAAACAGCCTGCCGATAACTTGCTCATTGTTGTTGTTGTTCGTCTTCTTCTTCCGCTTCCTTCGACTAGACATTATTTTACATTTGTCACTAGGTGTCAAATGGGTATCAGAATGGAAAGGAATTCCTTGAATGCTGTGAGCATCGAAAACGGTAACCTAACAGAGCAGGCTTACTATTGGGGCGCTTGCATGGAGCACCTTGCGTGGATGATAATTTATGTGCGTTATGTAAATATTCAATATCATCATATTTTAATGGAATAGGCCTAAACTTATCATAATCTTTTCAAAACAGTAACAGATTGGTGGATAATAACACTTTTAGTGTTCAACTCACCGAAGTTCATGTAGCCGTATATCTCGACTCGGAGGCAATTGAAAGCGGTATTTGATGATAATATCTTGATCCGGATATACCGGGCGACAGGATCCCACGTTGTTATATATTCTTGTACATCTTCTGCACTATTTGCACTGTTTCCCTGTAGCTGAAATATGAACAGAAATAATAATCAAATAGATCATTACCATTCTTAATCTTTGTCATAATCACTTGATATTAAAGACATTAAGAAACGTCGGAAATCTGTGACGTAATGATTTAAGCATAAAACTTACCTTCTTTATTTTTTCGCCTTTATCTTATCATGCAAACATGTGCACTTAATATCGGACATACATATATATATATATTCATCACTGTTACTTTTTTAATCGTTTTGGAGTTGAATCCTCTCCAAATTGAGTGGAATCCTCTCTGAAGAAGTGTTTCGAATCACTCCTTGATAGTGGATTTCACACATTTTGAATGTATATTTTGACTCCAAAACGAAGGTAATCCCTAATATATATCATCAAAGAGTGGACTCCATTCCATTTTAAAGAAGTGCCAATAGTAAATGTAATACTGCAATAATACCATCCAAAAATAACTGCACGAAAAAAAAGTAAGTCTCGACACCTCTGGACTAGCTTACGCTCTTTCTCATCGCTCACCTCTACGTCCACGTAAGAATAGAAGTCATCTACCACGCTCGTTTTAAACTTTAACTCCGTCGGGTACGAGCCCGACGCCGCCGGGTAATCAACGGGCGTGTTGACGAGCCCATGGACGACGAACTTGTCGATGTGAGCATGGGTCAAAAGGTCAATTTTTATCCAGGGTTTGCTTTCAGCAGGGGCGGCACACCAAGCAGAGGGACCGTTAAAACGCCCCTCCCCGGGAGCATGGGCCTCATCGAGGTAAGAGCTAGCCGAAATTTGGGCGCTCGCGATCTCACCGCTTTGCATACCCAACGGTACTGTACCACCTGAGAGAGAGAGAGAGAGAGAGAGAGAGAGAAATAGAGAGAGAAAGTCAAATGTAAAAGTATGGCATTGGTAATTGAGAATGAGGGTGAAAGAGAACGTGCGAAATGATTTATATGCTTGTGTGTGTGTATTTATATTATATATACGAGGCGTTGGGGACGTAGTCCCCTCATTAGTGTAAAACAAAATCAAATCAATGTTTGCCATATTCAGGCAGCGAGGTGCTTGAAGATCCTCAAGTCCTTCGAATTCGGCCAACGTGGATCAAAGGAAGAAGAAAAAAAATTGTGACTAGAAATTTTCCTCTCGTTTTTTGCTTAAGGGGGGGGGGGGGGCTGTTGAGCGAAATAGCGGCCGGCACGATTTTCAACTTTCAGCACACTAAATTTTAAATTGATTTCAAATTTGGGCCTCCCCCCTAAGAAATCCTGGATCCGCGCCTGATAGGGATATCCTTAAATTTAGACAGCGAAGTGATAGAATAGAGTCTTTATTTAGGTGACGGAATAACGTTTTCTCTACAACAAAGTGTCAGTTTTTAAGCTCACCATGTCACTCACGAGATAAGATACAAATTGGAAAGTTTAGATTCACGCAAGTGGCGTTAACCCTCTTGCAAAATATGCCTGTAAATGTATATGGACAGAGACACAAGAGAGGAGAACAATAGCCTAGGGGAGGGATGTAGCATATAGCGCAACAAATTAGCAGACAAATATTGTGCCGAGCGGACAAATATTGCATAAATGTTAAAGGGACAAAAGTAAGATCCATACATGCTTTACAAGGAGTGATAAAGTTTCTGATATATATTTTACAAAAATAGGTTATTTCAGTCATCCATAATTTCATGGATATGCCACTAACAGAAAAAAGATGAGAAAATGAAAAAAATGTACCTTCGTAAGCTGCTCCTAGAACGAAGATTCGCATCCATATTTCTCCCTTCCATGTCTGAGGCAGAAGTATTAGGCCTCTTGCTTCATGCAATTGATTAAACATTAGCATAGCATAACCGGGCGTATAATCCAGTCCAAAAACCTGAGACAAAATTAAAAAGTAAAAACAAAAGACTGTTTTTGAAATTGGACATCTGGATTTTAGGGCTAATATTTTATTGAAGCGCATTACCTGATATACGACACTATTTACTAATTGTGGAGCAATGTCAAATTTGGCTACTTGAGCGCTATATAAAAGAACGTATTACTACTACTACTAATATCATTATTAATTTATTATTATCATCATTATTAAAGTGACTCGGTAACATTACCTCAGATTATGAAAAAAAATTCTGGATTTAGCTCATGCTGCAATCATAATTAAAAACCTTTAGGTCAGTCAGGAATCCTATGTCTTTTACAAACCGATCGCCTGTCTGGTTATCAAGATATTTATGATTGGAAATCGAAATTTCACTTTTCGTTTTCCTAACGGTTTTTATAACATTACAGTCTATTGGGTAGTTTCCGAATCGCTGTCAGTGTAATTGGAAGGTACTAATTCTAGAGACGGTTTTCTAATTATTCATATAATCAGCGGTTTATTAGACGAATTGTGCCGATGTGGGTCACGATTTTTGCCCATAAAAGCTTAGTATGTCTCAAAATAAAATCATTGTGGATCGGTATTATTTTCGCCGTAAATCGAAATGGCTCGCAATGATCATTTTGCACATAATACTTATTCACATTATTTCTTTCTGAGCGCACGAAGAGCATTTGAAGCTCGACGAAATGATCCTTTTTAAATATTACTAATAAGTGAACATACTGAACATATGCTAGATACTCGCAGTGCCAGTAAAAGGCCTTCATTAGGACACCTAGGTCTAGACATACCACAGACTCGGTAGAGCTGTCCTCGTGGAAGTACTTCCATGCCGTTTCCCGCGTGTCAGTAAACGCGAACTTCAAAGACGTAACACGCGCTGAAGAGTCCTGCCCTCCTAGAATGATCACGCCCTGGATGGTCACGGTCCTGTCGAAATCCACACGGATGTAAGGCTGGTCGACGTCGTCATCTTTCGCACGCCATCCGTTAAAGTCTTCGTAGTCACCCAAGATGTTGTCGAGCAGGTAGTCGAGGTCCAGAGGATCGGCGATGAGCTGTTGTAAGAAGGCCTTTTCGGGGTTGTAATTCGCTTTCGAAGTGGAAGCCGATATGGACGCGCTCCTGAGGTCCACAGGTTCGGCACGGTCTACAATATTGAAATAGAGAGAGCAACAACGTGATATTATTTTGATTGAATCACGATAATCTATTCTTGAAATATTAACTGCACTCGCTAATATATGACAAACATTTTGTACTGTCCATTAGAGTAGGAAATGCTATAATTTTATGAATCTAAAAAAATAATAGGTCAAGAGCAGTTCTTGCGACTATATTGTGGAGGGGATGGAGCTGTGGGGTGCTTGGGGCTCTACATGTTCACCATATCTCTACTGACCGTCAGATCGGAAAGACAGCATAACTTAATCTACCCAAATATTTTGTCATAATGATGTTCTTCTTAACAAAAAGGACATAAAGGAAAACATGGACGACCTACCACTGTACTGAAGGTTCTTTGGACAATCCAAACTACCACAGTGCTTTGTAGTCGCCAACTGCAGGTTCCCATCGAATCCGTAGTCAGTGTCGAGCGGCAACAATGTGACCGACGATCCATACCCGACACTTGGAAATTCAGGTGTCTGTGCTTCACTAAATAACACGGTGACATCCGTTCCTGGCAGAACTGTTCCCTCAGTGAAGGGAGCGGTTTCTGTGTTCCAAGCCATGACAGTGTTGACAGAGGTCAGTTCTGTAGCGGTAGCTTCCCCTAAAGTCGTTTCTGCAGCTACAACTTCCCCTGTCGTAGTTTCTGTAGCGGTAGCTTCCCCTAACGTCGTTTCTGCAGCTATAACTTCCCCTGTCATAGTTTCTGCAGCGTTGACTTCGCCCACCGTTGTTTCTCTGACAGTTACTTCAGCCAAAGTCGTTTCTCCGAGCATGGTATCAGCTAAGGTTGTTACTTCGACAGTGCTCTCCGCAAACGTGGTTTCTTCAGCTGTTGTTTTTCCGGGCGTTGTCTCAGGTGAGATTGTTTCGCCAATCGTGGTCTCAGAAAACGTTGTTACTTCAGTGGTTACCTCCCCTATATTAGTTTCTTTGACAGTGCTTTCCGCAAACGTGGTTTCTTCAGCTGTTGTTTTTCCGGGCGTTGTCTCAGGTAAGGTTGTTTCGCCAATCGTGGTCTCAGAAAACGTTGTTACTTTAGTGGTTACCTCCCCTAAAGTTGTTTCTCCGACGATGCTTTCCGCAAATGCAGTTTCTTCAGCTGTTGTTTCTCGTTGGGATGTAGGAGACGCAGGGAACGATATATCTCTTGTAGTCGTTTCTCCATTGATCTCGACGGGGTCATCTTTCGGAGGTGTATACAGATATACATCAATATCCCCGGTGTGCGAAATGAAGGACGGTGAACAAACTGTTCCGTAGCCAAGACAGCTGTTGCTGTATGCTTTGGTTATTGTCTTGTGACAGGAACATTGGCTTTCACTGTCTTCTAGAACTGTCCCTTCGCAAAGGCCCAAAGAACCTGAAACGTAAAAAAGACATTTGTAAGAAAGAAAGAAAGATATAAGAAACAATAGATTTAGCTGGGATCAGGGAAGGAACGATTCTCAACATGCACTGATTGATCAATTTCCTATTTTACCAGAATGATCAGAGACATTATTTAAAATCATATACGAACGACTAGGCAATGTGCGCTGATTGTTTCTTTGCCACAATATTTCAGACGTCAACAGGAATAATAAATCGTGCAGAAGGTATACTTAAAGATCTGAAGAAGAAAAGTTGCAGTGAAGAAAGACAGCATCAACCATAGTACGTACAGTCATGATTCAGAAAAGCGGTTTTATGATACATGTTCCTTTGATATTTGCTTCACGATCAATTTTCTGCAATAATCACATTCCTAATTACAACCTAAACCAAACACAAAACATTACGAACCTAAATAACACTGAGTTCCTATAAGAAATCTATTTATTCAGATGGTCATATCTCAGCCAATACTTAACATGTTCAATTGGTTCTCGACATTTGGACATTATTTTTGATGCTCTTTCGGAAAATGAAGTTCAAATTGGGAAAATCCAAATTTTTATGATGTCACAGCTTCGGTACTCTCTAGCTAACTGTTATCCTAAACCTAACCTAAAAACCCAATTGCCACCCAATATGTTACCTTGTATTTTAAAAACTAAATAAAATCCGGAGCAAATGTCAGATCACAAGAAAAATGAAAAAAGAAAGAATGTCTTCGGGAAGTCTTACTTTCTGTGAATTTGATACCAACATGTGTTACGTCACACGTTCCTCCTTGCTCGAAGCAGTTCAGGATATTGAGACTATTTGAGTTACAATGCGGATTCTTCACTGTCGCCACATACAAGCTGTCTGGAAACTCCCCGTCGCTACCGAACCGATCAAAGCCATACTGGCCGAGTTGATCCGCAAGTAAGTCGCCCGTCCTGGTGTTCAATTCGCTGCTTCTGCAGACGGTGCCCCACACCCCTGTATTAACAGGGTCGAAGACCTCGATTCGCCCCTCGGTCAGTGAAGCGCCCTCTACGATGCGGACGTTGGAGGGCATTGCTGCAGAATAACAACAAATGAAAAATAAATAAATTAGTTTCAAAGTGTATGACATTATTTCAAGATTGAAGGCCTAGTTACATACTAGATTTAGATTCGCTATATATTAGTTTAAACAAAATAATGAATGATTTTATAGCATCATGAAATTGACAGAATTGTTAGTGGATATGGCTATCGTAAGTAGATATGAACTTAGGGAGTTGATGTCCTCTAGATTTGAAGATTTGAGTTGGTCTGGCGGTACCGTCAGTGGTTAGCTCAGCTCTCTCTCTCTCTCTCTCTCTCTCCTCTCCTTAAAATAAAAATGACTCTGATTGACACCACTTTGAAACCGAGACACGTCTTTCGGAAGGTGACGTTAAAGTAAGTCCCAGACGTAAATATATTAGATTTTATTGGTATCCGTCTGTAAAAGCCCAATTACACACGCAATCACACTTACACATGCAACCCACACACATATCTACACGACGCAGCCCACTCTCTCTCTCTCTCTCTCTCTCACCCACACACACACACACACGCACGCGCGCGCACACGCACACACACACACACTCACACACACGCACACATTTTAGTCTGAAGCTTACATCGTGTTCCATACACCTGTATCGCGTCCACCTCTATTCCCTCATCGCTCCAACCACCGTCGAATGTGAGGGCTATCGAATCAGTCGGGAATTCGTGGAACTAAATAGGAAGAAACAATAACAGTTTTAGTTCTGACCAATTTTTTAATTAATTTTGAGTGTAATTAATGTGCTGCGTGACGTACGGGACGCTGTGGTCCCGTACGTCACGCAGCACATTAATTACACTCAAAATTAATTTAAAAATTGGTCAGAACTAAAACTTTCCACAAATGAACTAGCCCATAATAGCCACAGACTCATACCAAAAGATAGCCATATAAATAATTTCATCTGTTGTTATTTCTTGTTTAAAGTCTCTAAATGTCCCGTACGTCACAATCCAAATAGCTTGGACCTGCCCTACTGCAGATTCAATGTTGATTAATTATGATAGTTATGTTGTACATTAGCCAAGAGTACAATATATTAATTAAGAAAAATACAGCAGGATGAATAATTTTGTTTTGGTCCAACGTATTATGATTGCATTGCATTGTTTTTAGCTCAATAAAAATTTCACAAGTAGGCCTACATTTTGCAGATAAGAATCGAACATACTCAGTGGGGTGTAAGAAAATCAACGGGACAAAGGATAAAAAGTAAAAGAAAAACAAAATCTATTAAAGAGGAAAGATGAGAACGAGGAGGAGACTAACAACAAGATGTGAAAAATGAGAAGAAAAAATTTAGAGATAAAAAGAAGGAAAAGACGTTACGACAAAAAAAAAGACGATACAAAAGAGAAATACGACGAAGAAGAAGACTAAAACGAGAAGACGACGACGAAGAAGAATACGACGAAGAGGAAGAATAAGAAGAAGGAGACGGTGACGACGAAGAAGAAAACCGAAAATGACAAAACAAAGGAAGACGCGTATCGCTGGATAATATTCTACTTACATCCATCTCTGCGGAGAAGATACCGGCACTACATCCAGTGACGAGTGGGTCGTCGACCTCCCACATGATCACGAACTCCTCTTCGTCGTGGTCGTATACCATGATATACTCTAAGGCCCCAATACCTCGTAACATATAGATCACAATGCGTCGTATGAACAGAGGCTCCGGAATGTCAAACTGTATCATCGAGGAGAGAGAGAGAGAGAGAGAGAGAGAAGGAGAAAAAGAGAGAAAGAGAGAGAGAGAGAAAGAGAGAAAGAACAGAGAGAGAGGGTGAGAGAAAGAGAGAGAGAAATGAGAGAGAGAGAGAGAGAGAGGGGGAGGGAGAAAGAGAGAGAGAGAGAGAGAGAGGGAGGGAGAAAAAAAGAGAGAGAAGAGAGAGAGAGAGAGAGAGAGAGAGAGGGAGGGGGAGAGAGAGAGAGAGAGAGAGACAGACAGACAGAGAGAGGGAGAGAGAGATAATGGTTTGATTACCAAGGGCCCCTTTTCATAAAGAGTTGCGATTGAGCCGAATCAATCGCAAGTTTGCAGTCCTCTATCACTTATGTACATAGCTGCGATTAATTGCAAATGTTTATAAGGGGGGGGGGGACCCAGATTAGCCCTTCTGGTATCATCAACAGGATCGCAAAGACTTTCGAGAAATCATCCTAGTAAGGCAATTTCGACACCCTTGTTGGGGGGGGGGGGAGGGGATAGGCCTATTTCTGATTGTGTAAAACAAATTAGGATATTTGGATCAAATCGCAGCAGTGAAAATGTGCTTTTCAGAAAGTGTTGGTCTGGACGAAGCGGGGGGGGGGGTGGTAAATACTTACGATGATGTAGGAGAATGAGGGAACTGTGGTAGGGGCGGCGGTGTAACAGGGATACGCGTCAGGCGGCCCAATCAGACTGTTTTTTTCCTCCTGCTCCGGCACTGAGAGAGAGAGAGAGAGAGAGAGAGAAAGAGAAAGAGAGAAAGAAAGAGAAAGAGAAAGAGAAAGAGAAAGAGAAAGAGTTGTACGAATCTTTCTCTTGCGACGATTGCACCTCGTCAACCAAATGGACCAAACAGTATACTTAACCCTAACCCTTACTAACATAAACTCAATTACAAGACTAGCCCTAACCCTACATTCGAAACAAAGCCCGGAGTAAATTGTTGCCGAAGCAACTGTGGGATCACCAATTAACATAATGAATTGAAATACTAATGGGCCTATGGTTTTTGGATGAATTTCAATTCAGGCAATATCTATTTCAAGTTATTTACTTCTCTACAAAGTATTCAAGCAGTATGTCGACTGTGACATGGGCATTTTTTAAAAGTACAGTAGCCTGATGGAGTAGTTCATTTATTTATCGACATAGGTTTAAAAGAATGGAAAACGGTCAACAACTCTCGATTAACTGACCAAAAAGGGGCGTTGTGAGGTCCCGTGCCCTCTCTAGCAAAAAAACAGGGATTTACAAATAAACAATAGAGATTAAAATTTATTTTAAAAAATCAATTATGAAATCTAAACGACACTTACATAGCTTCGGGTTCTACGGATACAATGTAAGACGCCCACGAGCACGCATCTGTGTACAGAACACAAAATACAGATATTAGTGTACTAATTTTGACATAACAGAAACATAACTCGTCGGCTATAATGAGTGGCCGAGAGGGGGTCCAGTTACTAAGAGCTGGGGTCGCTGGTGGCACTGGGGATGGGTCTTATTAGGTCAATAAAATGGGAAAATAAGACCAATGTCATATTGAGTGGCGTTTAAAGACTGGAAGGATCATCTTGATTGGGTGACGAAAGACATCGTTTCGTTCCAGATGCCCGCCTCGCTCTCTCAAACCCCCTCCCTTTTCACCCCCCCCCCCACAATCGCCAAATGTGTTCACAAATCTTTTCATAGTTTAATTGCATTAGTCGAGCTCTGGTTTCAATAAATGCTGTATACACGTGTGACTTGGTAAAAGCGATTAAGATATTGGGGCGGGGCTTCAACTGGAAGGGAGCACCTTTGTATGAATATGATATATGAAGGATTTTAATTGGCTCCCATCAAGAGGTCATGGGTCGGATCCTTGCTAGGTGCTTAGTAGGTCATTGAACAAGTTGTTTTACTCAAAAATCAAATGTGTATCCAGCGATGATGGGGGTAATAATAATTGCAGGGGGTGCAAGAAGATCGTATTGATACTGATGAGGCTACCATTGGTAAATTAGGGAATATGCTGTTATTATACTTACAGTCAAAAAGATTACTTTGGAAGTCCGAGTCTGAAGACCAATGTGAATCCGAAGTAGACGACGGTGAAGAATCCGAATTGGACGATGGTGACGAATCCAAATTGGACGATGGTGATGAATCCAAATTGGACGATGGTGACGAATCCGAATTGGACGATGGTGAAGAATCCGAATTGGACGATGGTGAAGAATCCGAATTGGACGATGGTGAAGAATCCGAATTGGACGATGGTGAAGAATCCGAATTGGACGATGGTGAAGAATCCGAATTGGACGATGGTGAAGAATCCAAATTGGACGATGGTGAAGAATCTGAATTGGACGATGGTGAAGAATCCGAATTGGACGATGGTGAAGAATCCGAATTGGACGATGGTGAAGAATCCAAATTGGACGATGGTGAAGAATCCGAATTGGACGATGGTGAAGAATCCGAATTAGACGATGGTGAAGAATCCGAATTGGACGATGGTGAAGAATCCGAATTGGACGATGGTGAAGAATCCGAATTGGACGATGGTGAAGAATCCAAATTGGACGATGGTGAAGAATCCGAAATGGACGATGGTGAAGAATCCGAATTGGACGATGGTGAAGAATCCGAATTGGACGATGGGGAAGAATCCGAATTGGACGATGGTGACGAATCCGAATTGGACGATGGTGAAGAATCCGAATTGATCGATGGTGAAGAATCCGATTCAGATGGAGAAGACGACTCAGACGAACGCGAAAACAAAGAGGATGATGAGCAAGATGGACACGATGGTGATATTATTGAAGGACTTTCCGTGTTCCGGTCCGACGCCGACGGACTTGAATCTGAGCTTGAAGAGTCACTCTCTTGGGCCGTCAGCAGGTCGGAGCAAACGAGCTACATCAGAAAAGAATGGGGGTTAAAATTAACTGAATACAATATGTATAACATAGGGTTGTATCAATAGAATGATAGGCGGTTGGGTGTCCGGACATTTTAAGCCCCTCTAAAATGTTGGGAGCCCCAAATTCGCCAAAATGTTGATGGCAAAATTTCACTTAAATTGTATCATAATGTGAAAGAGGATGTACACTTCTGCAAAGATTTTCCCCTAAAAATACGTTTGAAGACAAATATTTGATTTAAAAAATACTTCATTGGTTTTCTGTAGTACGCAGAAAACCTAAATTTTGTATTCTTTCATCAATATTCGACTTTAAACACATCAAACAAAAATCCTTTCATAAATGTGTCTGAAATGACATCCGCTTTCACATTATGATACAATAAGTGGAATTTTGTCATCAAATTCTCGGGGCTTCCAACACTTTAGAGGGTCTTTAACAAACATAAAGACTTCTCCTTTGTCTTTGAAATAAACGGAAATATTCATGAAATAACACTAAACATCATGAAGAATGGTCACAATTTAGTCCAACGTAAGTCTATTAAGATTTATTAATTGCTTGTAAGCTCCTTCAAATTGCTGTTTTAAATCAACCGTCCGCCGGATACACAACGTATGGCTATGATTCGTTCCATCTGACTTCTTGACTGTGATATCTTTCATATAGAAATTATAAGAATGAGAAACTCACGAATTTTTTTCTTCTTCCCCTTCCGGTGAATTCAAATTTCTCTTTAAATTGCCGGCGGCATATAGTGTACATTATACTTCACTCTTTGTTATATTGATAATTCAGACAATGGCGTAGCGTACACCAAGCCACTTAGGGGTGGGGGCACCGGTCATACACGGTAAATAAATGCTAGGGAACGAGGCCATAATAATGTATAAAATTCTTTTTCAAAGTGCTTTATAATTATGGTGAACATAAAGGAGGGCGTTTAAGGGTGTCGTAACCATCTTATATGACGTTCCGTTTTGTAAACATGTCTGCCCTCACTCGGTTTTTCTTTCTTCTTTTTTTCTCTCCAGTTTTCACATTTTATTTTATTTTTTTATTTTTTTATTTTTCAATTTTTAATTTTAATTTTTCTTTGATTTTGGAGGGAGAAAGGGGGGGGGGGGGGACTTGCCCCCAAACCTCCCTATACTATACGCCACTGTACAGACTCTATGATAAATTTGACTAGGGGCCATGCGTTTGCATTGTTAAAAAACTGTTTTGAATCATTAATATTGTATTATGTTTATTCAATCTGGCTGAAACGCAAATCTTAAACAACATATTATAAGTTATATATTATTATGATGGAATTTCGAGAGCATATTCTTCCATTTAAGAATGACGTGAATGAGAAAGCTCACAAGTAATGTCTTCGCCTTCACGGTAGAACTCAACCTTCGCTTTAATTACACAAAATAATTACTATCACAAACAAGTGCAGTGGTCTCATTGAGAGAGGAGCGTGGATTTTCAATGCTCCAATCTCGAGCGAAAATCAATATTTAATTATGATTATTGATTTTTCACTCGGATGCTTTATGAGGGAATAAACACCAAGATGAGTGATAATTAGTGCCTAATTAGATATCTGTCTGGTTTCTTGGCAGTGTTTCCGATGCTCTCTGTAAACAAATCGGTTGCTATTTAAGAGATGGCGTGATGACAATGGGTGATAAGACATTTCGGCATCCCTTTTCCATTCAGGTGTAACTGTTTTCAAGCAATTTTGTTAAAAATTGGCAGAATTGAGGTGTTGTTATTTTTCTGCTTGTTGGTCAATATTGTTGACAAATTTGATCTGACACAAACTTGAAAGCAATAATTTATTTTTTAAAGAAATATTTCATCATTGGAAATTATGCCCCAGATTTTGCAATTGGCGTTCATGGAAGAAATAACGAATGCATCCCCAATGACCCGATTCAATATCTTCGGAAATGTTTTGTCCCGCCCCCCCCCCCAAAAAAAACACCCCTCAACAACAACAACAACAACAACCAACCGACTGTGGCTTATGGTGGAATTACCCTCAAATGTTTTTTTTCTACAGCATTCGGTTGTAAACATACATTTCCTGGAACACCCCCTCCCCCCCACAGGATGGAAATTAATATTACGGTCCTGGAGGTCTAAGCTTTCTTGGTAGATTAAGAAGCACCTTAAATAAATCTATATTAAAACTAGTATATAAGTTGTTCTACCCCACTTCGACTACGGAGATGTTGCATATGGTTCGGCCTGTAAATATTTAACTGAAAGATTGCAAGCTCTAAAATCGTGCTGGGCGTTTTATTTTACATATCAACCGTGACTCTCATATACCCAATTCAGAAATTCACAATGCCCTTAACTGGGAATCGTTACACAACAGGAGAAATCAGCATTTGCTAACTTATATATTAAAATCACTTAATGAGATGACCCCTGTTTACATTTCAGACCTTGTTAGTATCTCTGTACACGAATACCACTTACGCTTTGGCGGAAGACTTTATACGCCTAAGCCTGATAATGGATTTTTGAAAAGAATTTTTAAGTATAGAGGAGCTATGGCTTATAATAACCTCCCTGGTTATTGTAAAAACTGCCTCCACTCTGAATAGTTTTAAACGCGAATTAACGTTGTTCCACTCACATGCTCAATCACCCAGACCTTGATAATAGATTGACCTATCCCAGACTCGGGAGGGGGTGTGGGGGGGGGGGGGGAACGGAACTTTCGCAGTTCTTTCACACAACTTCCATTTTGTAGAGTTTAAGCATTTATAACTGTGTATTGTACTTTCTTTATATCTTTTAATTAAGTAAATAATTATACGTCATGTTTTATATTTATGTATATGATTTCTGGACCCCCATGGAAGACCAGCCTGGCACAGCTGAATATAGGCTATCCAGCCGTTTTATTAACGCTATATGTATATACTTGTATTATATGTTTTTTTTGGGTTTTTTTTTAACGGAAAATAAAAACTATTCTATACTATACTCTTTTAGAGGTCTAGAAGAAGAAAAAGCGAATACAAACACAATAACAAACCATTTTTTAAAGCTGAATAATTGATATGAAATTCAAATTTCGCAACAATTATCCAGGTATTAAAAAAACACAATCATTTAAAACAAAACATCAAAGTCATCTCTTACCAAAAGAAAACCCCAAAGAAACCAGCGCCATTTGCCGCTGACCCCATGATGTTTCAAACCGTCTTCCATTTTTATTATCGGCAAATCTCACTGATTGCTTTTAAAATTTTCTTTCACAGTTGATTGTCAATTAGATCCTTGTAATCGTCTAATAATAACTTTGATTGCAGTTACATAAATCGGTAATCTTTCTTCGTAAGGTAGATTTGTTCGTCCTGTAAAGCAGTACTAAGAAGATCGTTGATTTGCACTTTCACGAAAATATGACAACAATCTGTTTCAGATTTGGAGAATGAAGAAACATGATGTCTGCTTGCCCGAAAGATAGATCTGGTTAGGAAGCGACACCATTTTTGTTCTTGCGATGAAATTGCACCATCTCCCAAGTTCCTCTGATTTTATGTACAGGACGTGTATTATATCCCGAGTCTCCTTGAGTGTTATGAAGAAAGCTCTGTGTGGTTATCTAATGTATGTGCAATTATGTTTGTTAATCTTCAAACCGGCAGCCAGCTACTCTCAAAATGGAGATTGATGTAGTTTGAAATCTCCATCAAGATGACTTCCATGAAAATAAACATTGCTCAGTTCGGTATAGACAGATTTTTCAAAGATTCAAGAGGTAAACATAAAATGTATGTTCCTCCGAGTTTTACCGTAATAAATGAAAAGTCGATGGGTTATTTGAACACAATAAAAATTTGTCGATACAACACTCTCTCCAAGAAGATTGAATAAGTATCTCACACTGAGGCGTCAGAAATGTTTAGAATTCATCCAAGAGATCACAGTAGCCTACGTGCTTCTTTGCTTTTCCGATTGCAAAGCGACGGATTTTTGTTGATAAGAACAGGCGTTGCAATCATTAGTTTACAACTTTGATCTATCTCCACTCTTCAAATGATTTTCGTTAAACTTAAACTGTCACAGCGTAACTCTCCTTGGAAGAAAAAATGTATTTATGTTAATGGTGGATGTATACGTCTGATGTATCCGTTTCAAATACAAGTTTAAAACTTTTCCTTTACAAGCAATGCTTAAGTCGAGGATATGGCACCTTTCGGAATCTTGTTTCACCTCTATTTTTCCTAGCGCGCCTCCGATTTTTTCCTTGTGCGCCTCCGAAGCTTTAGAAAGACGGCGGTCAAAAAATGGCTACTATTGTTTTATCATCCGCTCACTCTTGTTGCTATGGTGAATTGAAAAGCCACTTCAGGCAGGTGTCCCCTTACGCTGCAGATAATGATACAAAATCCAGCAAAACACATACAGAGAAATGGAATTAGGCATTTCTTGATCAAAAATTTGATTCAAAGATCCCGGAATCAAAGTTGCCACCCGCTTCACCATCAACGCTGGCAGACGACAGAAGCGTACCGATCGACTCGCGATCAACAGTATAGCTTCCAATCACCACCAATGAAGTGTCGTCTGGTATATAATTGCCTCATTACCATGGTCTCCGCTACCTCACAGTTATTGTTTGAAGAGTTATATAACAATGCATGTTATTTACTAACGTTATTAAATCACCTTCTCCCGAGCAACTTAAACTGGTATAGATCACCAAAGTATAGGCGTCCATTTACTTGAATCTTAACCGGGGGGGGGGGGGGGGGGGGGGTTAATGCGTAAGTCGTTATATTGTGTCTTTCGAAATTAGGTAAAGATGGTTCTGTTCTGTGACAGTAATGCACTATGCGCTGATAGAGCACTTGTAAAGTGCTACTATGTAGATTGTGCTAATTATTCATTTCAATCAATAATGATTTTATTTTGAAAATGCTTTGACAGAAATGCACTACACTGTATATGCGCTGATAGAGGAGCTTTGAAGTGATATTATGTAGGTGTGATGATTATTCATTTCAATTAAATAATGGTTTTATTTTGGAAATGCTGTGACAGT